TCTCGATGCACAATTTAAAACCCTCCAAAGAGAACAGTATGGAAAAGGTGGGGAGTGACAGGTAACTTTCTAGTGGAGAAACCTAGCAAACACCACCTTGGGCAAGTGGTCAAGACTCACAGCAACAGTGATGAGTTGACACAATGAGAATGGAGCCGTACTTCCATGGTCTTCCTTCCCTAAACCCATAGTCCCTGTATGATCATGAGAAAAATATCATCAAAACCAAAATTGAAGGACTTTCTACAAAATACTTGATCACTATTCCTCAAAACTCTCAAGATTATCAAAAAACAATAAAAATTTGAGAAACTATCACAGTCTAGAGGAGCCTAAGGAGTCATGGCATCTACATATAATGATTCCTGGGTGGGATTTTGAGACAGAAAAAGGACACTAGGTAAAAGCTAAAGAAATTCAAATAAAGTGTGGATTTTATTATTAATAATCTGTCCATAGTAGTTCCTCAGTTGTGACAAACACTAATGTCAGATGTTAACAACAGGGAAAATTGGGTGTGGGGCAGAGGAGGACTCTGTACCACTTGCAGTTTTGTTGAATGCCTAGGAAGTGAATGAGAAGGGGTATTTGGATTCCAGCTCCCTGTGAAGAACTGGAAGGAAACTGAACAGTTTCATCATGTGCCCATGGCATGATGATGGGATAACTCTGAGCCAGTTATTTGAACCTCTTTGTCTCCCATTCATTTAACAATAATAATTTTATGGAGTGTGCAACTCATGGAATAGAACAAATTAAATTAATCTATACTAAATGCCTAGTGAATGGCAGGTGCTCAATGATTGTCCCCTTCCCTTTGTTATATTCGGCTTGTGAGCAAGTCACTTAACCTCTCTGTGGACAACAAGGCATTTGCTACTGAATGGAACAGAAACAATTTATTTAAAATAAAAACCATAGCTAAAAGCATCTTCTAATTAAGTGGGATAGCATAATTTTTGGAGGTAGAGGAACAAATCTCTATGGTCTCCCCTTCCAGTTACAGAGACTGATGAAGAAAGAAGAGACGAAAGATCAAAATTCCAAAGCTTCTTCCATTTCTTCTCTGCTGATAAAGGGTGAGTCCGAGGGTGGATGAACCTTTGTTTTAGTAGGCACATTAATGAGACAGTATTTTAAAAAATAGGCCTAGCATCCAATAGAGGGTGGAGAATTAAGAACAGCTGAGTGTTCTGCATAATTAAGTTAGGGAATTAAGATGATAGGAGTATAAAAGTGTTGTTGGGTGTGTGTGTGTGTTGTGTGCGGTGTTGTGTGTGTGGGGGTGTGTGTGTGTGTGTGTGTGGAGCAAGGCAGGTTGTGCTGAGTTACAGAGCGCAAGGCTGTAGTCTTTGGAGAAATGTGACCAGTAAGGCATTCTCTGTGGAGGGATGGTCCAGGGACTTTTAAAGCAACAATGTCTAAAACTCTCATTTTAATTTATTTGTTTTTCCATAACATAAATGTCCTTCATTATCTTAACTTCAAAAGTTACTAACGATGACAGTGAAAGAGTGTAGTAGAGAGAGAGAGGGCGGCCTTAAGCCGAAGCGCCAAGAGAGAAGCGGGCGGGGTGAACAACAGAGAGAGAGCGGAGGAAGGAATCGGGTAGATAAAATGACGATGAGGTAACACGAGGCGCGAATGCGAGAGAGGCGAGTTAGGCGATTTGGGCTGGTTTATAAGTGGGCCATATGTGGTGTGAGGCACGAGTGTTTGTGGTGGTGGTGTGTGTCCAGCTTCCCAGAATGAAGGCTGGGGGAGAAGGTAAGGGCTGGTATTTCCAGGCACCCAGTGCCCTCAGAGATGTGCCCTCCTCATGGCCGAAAAGTCCTGATGCACAAACAGGACACGCCACGCCTTCCATACTGTTCAGACTCATTCCCTGTTATGCTCTGCGATGCTGGAGTTGCCGTACCACCTCACTCAACATATCCTGGAACACAATGCCTTTTTTCCCAGCTTTATTGAGGTATAATTGACAAATAAAAATTATATATATTCAAGGTGTACAATATGATGTTTTGATATGTGACATATATGATTTGTTATATATGACATATATCAACTCTCAAGTATCAAATACTTAAGATCTACTTTCAGTGAATTTCAAGTGTTCGATACAGCATGATTAGCTATAGTCACCATGCTGTACATTAGGACCCCAGAACTTATTTATCTTATAACTGCAAGTTTGTACCCCTTGTCCAACATCTCCCCGTTTCAGAAGGGACCACAGTTGTTTGCAGTTATCTTTGTATATACCACTCTCCATCACCGCCCCTCCCTGCAAGATGATGGGGGTAAACAAGGTGGATTCCGTGGCAGGTCCATCTTTAGGTTCCCTGAGCACTGAATACAGTGTCTTTTTCTTAGAAGGTGCTCAGCAAATACTTGTTGAAAGGCTGACTTGATATCTCTCTTCCTTGGTGGTTAGCATCGTTTTTGTTATTTTTCTTAGGTGGACATGACTTCAAACACACACACACTCCAAAACATATGTGAGAGGAGCTCACATATACACTCTTACAAATAAAGATGCCTCTTTACAGTCCTTATGTACAATAATCTATACCCCAAATGGTCTTTTCTCAGCATTCATGAGCCCACAGTGGAGCTATCACCAACAATCGTGAGATCCCCAGAGTGCTCAGGGTCTTCCCAAACTGCCTCCTACCACAGCTTCTGATTGCCGAGGCAGGAAGGCTGTGCCAGCATTCACTCTCCGCATGACTGGGTAATGGAGGAAATCACGTTACTTTTCCAAAGCCTTAATTTACTTATCTGCCATGTGGGCTGAATAAAACATGTCTTATGTAACACACAGAGTTGCAATGGGGATCAACTGGGTAACGAATGAGAACATGCTTGGGGTGCCTAAAATATGCGGTGGAGAAAGAATAGTCTCTTCAATAAAAGGTGTTGGGAAGACTGGCTACATGCATACAAAAGAATGAAATTGGATTCCTATTTTAAGCCATACACAAAAATCAAGTGAAAGTAGATAAAAAACTTAAAGATCTAAAACTGTGAAACTACTAGAAGAAAATATGAGGAGTATGATCCACAATCCCTCTTACAGGAACATATCCAAAATAACTGCAATCGGGATCTCAAAGAGATATCTGCACTCCCATGGTCATTGCAGCACGATCCCCAGTAGACAAGAAATGGAAACAACCCAAATGTCAATAGGGTGTATATATCCAATAGAATATTATTCAGCCTTGTAAAAGGAAACCGTACCATTTGCAACAATATGGATGGACCTGAAAGACATTATACCAAATGAAATAAATCAGTCAAAGGAGGACAAATACATGATTCCACTTATATGAGGTATCTAAAATAGTCAAACACACAGAAGCAGAAAACAGAATGGTGGTTGCCAGGGAATAGAGGGAGAGGGAAATGGGGAGTTATTCCGTGAGTATGTGCTATTCAATGAGTGTAGAGTTACAGCTATACCTGATGAACAAGCTCTATGCAACACAGTGTCTACAGTTAACAATACAGTATTGTGCACTTAAAAATTGGACAGGGTAGATCTCATGTGAAGTGTCCTTATCACAAAAACAACCACCCCTTCCAAACACAGACACAAGGAAACTTTTGGAGGTGATGGGCATATTTATTAGCTTAATTGCAGTGATGGCATTATAGGTGTTTGTGTATGTCCACACTCATAAAATTGCATGTTAAATAAGTGCAGGTTTTTGTATATCAATTATATCTCAGTGAAGCTGTTTTTAAAAGTGCCTCATTCAAAGAACAGTGGATACAGACAGTAACTCATCCATTTGTCCTCAGATCCCTCTTACTGGCTCCAGGTGTCCCTATACTGAGGTATGTGTGCTTTGCTTCTGAAAGTCAGTACCTCTTACTCGCTTTGGAAGGCCACTCTCAGGACACTGGAGCTGCTTTGCTTGAGGCTGCAAGAATGAGAGTGTCTGGAAGTGTGTGTGTGTGTGTGTGTCCCCATGGAGTGACCTTAGCCAAGGGCTGAGGGTGAGAGAGTATAAAACCTCAGCCCCTCTATCCAGAGTTGGGGCATCCTCCGAGATGTAATTGACATTGTAGCGTCCCCTTGAAGACTGAGGCTGAGACTTTGCCTGCAATCCTGTGCTGGTTTGGCTTCCTCCCCTTCCCTGTCCTGCCTCCCCAGGCCCTCACATGTCCCCCTTGGGAGCACTTCCTTTATAACTTAACTTGTACATGGATCTCATCTCAAAGTCTGCTCCAGGGAACCTGACTTAAGTTACAAATATAACATGATGTGATGGTGTAATTCCTCCTGGCACCTTAGCGATTACAGAAATATATACTTCCTGAGCATCTTCTTAGACACTGTTCGGTGCTTTTTATTTGAAACATGCATCATCTTATTTAATCCTCCATCCAACCCTTTGTAGATAAAGAAGCAGGGGTTTAGGGAGATTAAGTAATTTTGCCAAGATTACATGCTAGCTTACTGGTAATTAAAGAACAAGCCTGATCGAACCTAAAACTTCTGCTTGGGTTTATTTTATCAAAATAAAGGTTTTGGGGAATGTGTTTTTCCCTACTTTTTGGTTAAAATTTCCTACCTTTCTTTTTTCTTTTCCTTTTACTCTCTTTTCAATCATATTAGCCCAAAGGCAGGTCTAAGGAGAGAAGCATGTTCTCCTGACAGGCAGATTGGAAACAAAAACTCTGCTCACAGCTTGGCAAGAGCAAGGGCAGTGATTGACTCTAGGTTGCTGTTCCAAATGGCAACCACTTAAAAACCCATCCTGCCTTTATCCTTGGTGAGGAAAGCATCACTCACCACAGTCCCTCCTCTCCCCGAGCCACTGTGTGCAGCTTACAACTCTGATGTGAGAAATGAAGTGAGCTATCAAAACAGGGTCTCATTGCTAGATAACGGGTGGGAAGAGGAAAGGGTTCAGGCAGCATTTCTGTAGGGACCCAGAAGGCAGATGATTTGAAAATTAAATTATTTTTAGTGATTGCTGGTCATTTTATCATTTTATTATTAATTCTATAATACATAGAATTTTTTTTTTTTTTTTTACGTAGTCTATGAAGCATCTGGGAGATGGCAGCTGCAGAACAGGAAGATGAGTAGGGCTTGGTTCCTGCCCTGGAGGAACTTGGCAATCTATGGATGAGACAGACACAGTCAGCCAATCAGAACCTAAGAAAGAATTTGGGATCTGAGATTGCAATCAGGTCTGCCTTGGAGAGTCAGAAGGCTTCACATGTAGAGCAGCACTCACGGTGAAGTGAAAGATGGTCGGAGTTTCTACAGCCAGCAGTGCAGTGTGGAGTGTGTGTGTGGTGGGAGCGGGTTGTGGGGGAGGGGTTGATGGTATTTCAGGCAAAGGAGGGAGAATCAGGAAAGGCACAGAGGTCTTGGGATGCAGCGCACATTCTAGGAATTGTTCGGGGTGGCTGAAGCTGCTGGAGTGGAGAGCATGACAGGTGCAGTCGTGTTTCACCCAAAGTTTATTATGTGCCTACTGTGTACCATGTAGGGTGCTAATCACTGCAAAAGATAAAAAAAAACATGAGTAAGATGCAACCGCTTGTCTTTTCGTGGCTCACAGGTGGAGGAGACAGATAAGCAAAGAGATAGCTACAGCAAAATAAAATGCATTATGAGTAGGTATAAGGAAATAGATGTGATAGAGCCAGGAAAACTTGCTGGAGGAGGGGACACTTGAGATAAGTCTTACGGTTGAAGGAAGAGTGACAAGATTGGAAGAGTGGGCTGTGGCCTAATTGCTGAGTGCTTTACCTCTAACTATGGAGTTTGTACTAAATCTAGTAGTGAAGATTGGAATCAATGCATATTTGCATGCAGGGGTGGGAACACTATTAGACTTGTGTTTCAGAAAGATTGTTTGAATGACTGGACCAAACACGTGTTGGTCCCCAGGTCCCCTGACCCGTCTACTGGTTGATTCACATGGCTGTGCCCTACGTTATAAAATATCAATCCTACCGTCCTAGCTAATTCATGGATTTATTTTTATCTGTGCAAATGTGTGGCTTTAAGGTTCGAATAGAGCAGGGGCCTGGGGCAAGGTTGAGAGGAGAGCAGAGACAGGCTTTCAGCTTACCTGCGCTGTTGTGTCCTCTCATTCAGTGTTCTGTAAGAGACGGGGAAAGGGATGAGAGAGACTCTGAGTGCTGATCCGGTAACTATGGTAATGTGCAGGCTCTTGTCATTTATGAGGGGCCTGCATGGATTAGATGCACCTTTTAAAATGCTCGCTTGTGAAGAGGTGACTAGACACGTCTTGATTGTTTGCCTCTGACAAGCCTGTTTCCAAGTGTGCAGAGACAGGGGTTTAGAAAGCTGAGTTTCAAAGGCACATCCGGCCTTTGCAAATAGAGAAAGGAGACTTGAGGGACACTCAAGCCTGTCCTGGATATTTCCAACTAATGCCAGGCAGCTGCCCCTAAGCCCTCTCCAAGTAACCCACAAAGCAAGGGCTTTGCTTTGAAACTAAGACTCTGCCCCAAATATCTGTCTATTTATAACAGCAACCAAAAATGCTGCCCTTTTGTTTCTTATCCTTCCACTAGTCCCACCTTTGGAGTCTCATTTGAACTCTCAGAATAATCCATCTCTCCCCCTTTTCTTGCATATCATAAACCTTTTTGAGCTTCTATTAGAATTTCCAAGAAAATGAAGTTAGACAGACTTGGATTTCAGTTCAATCTTTGTTGCTTGCTTCTTGTTGTGTGATCTTAGAAAAATCCCTTAGCCTCTCCGAACCTCAGTTTTTTTATTTGAGGATGGAGGTGACAGTGCCTATCATAAAAGTTTCGCAAAGTCTCTAGTCTCATCCATGGCACAGAGTGAATACTTAAGTAAATGGTCTTTTCTTTAACTTTCCAACCTCATTGCATTCTCCCAAATCTGTGAGTTTTGTGAAGACAGACTCTGAGTCTGTTACATGTCCAGTTTAAGGTTTTAGCTAATGCATAAGGTAAAGGAGCTAGAAGAAATGAGTCTAGATCAAAAGGTTCTGTTCAACCAGCTTATATGGTCTGCTTGGTTAGCTTACATACTAGTCAGTAAGACTGCTGAGTGATTGAGGACAACACCCCAGTTTAGTCTGATCATAGCACTGTTTCTGGGCTTCTGACTTCACTCACACACTACAAGGGGAGTTAATTAACAGATGAGCTCAATCCATGCAAGCTTGTCCCCACTTCCAGGAGAGCAGGCCCAAGTAACTGACTTATTGGGAAAAAATTGTGGTTTTGAAGAAATGATGGATCATTGGAACATGGAAGCAAGAAGAGAATGCGCAGTAAAAGTGGGCATTCTCTTATCTGATATCTTGAGATTTTAAGGCAGTCTCAGAACTTCTTTATAACTCCAAGCCCTTCATTCCCATCTGGTCACGCTCCTGCGTTTACATGGTACATATTTTACTTCTCTCTGCTAATTCAGTCGCCCTCATCCTTCCAGGCCCCACGCTAGTTGCATCCTTCCCCTGAAGTTTTCTCCAATCCTGTGGATCCCTCCATTTTAGATCAGGTTTGTTTAGTTGCCATTTGATAATTAACTTCACTTTTAAAAATGATCTTTCTTTTGCACTCTATTTTAAATTATAGAGCAAGAGTGCCACAATGCTAAAAATGAAAAATTTCAGAGTAGAAAAACCAATTAACCCTAATCCATATTCTTTGACAAAACTATATTTGACATCGTGATATGCTTTCTTCCTGTGTTTTAATTTTACCTCATGTGTAAGAAATAATTATGTAAGACTTCATCTATTGTAGTCTTATTTTTATTTCAAAATGTTAGCTTTTTCTGATATTACAACATAATGTTCACAACCATCACTTTTCAACGGACAGATTACATTATGAATAGGTGTGTATTCTTCCCTAAAATTCTCTTTGATGGTTGGTCTTTACAAAATGGTTGCTTCTACTAAATGCTGCTGTCTGCATCTTTTGCTTATACAATTGTATGGGTTGGCATAGACTAATGTTTCAATGGGTTAAAAAAATAACAGTCTTTTTCTATTTCTCACTCACATCACAGACCAGTGTCATCATTCTTGATCTCCCCCATTGGTCAATTAGGGACCAGGCTTCTTCCATCTGGTGGCTCTGCCATCTTCTAGGACTTCAAAGGCTTCAGAGGATCCTCAGCATCTAGCAGATAGATAAAGGAAGTGTCTGCTTGAAAATGGAGTACAAGATTTATGGACACACATCATTGGTCAGATCTCAGTCACATGACTTCACCTAACTGCAAAGGATGCTGGGAGTGGCCATCCTGACATGTATCCAGGGAAGAGGAAATGGCCTTGGTGAACATCTAGCCAGTCTTTGCCCCAGTTGTTTTCTTTATTTTATATTACTTGTGTGGGCTTGATTTCTGGAAGTTATTTTAGTTCAAAATTCAATAGTCTTTTATAGCTATTAACATAATAAACTCAGCATTCCTTTGTCCATTCATTTACTTAATAAATCTTTGAATGCTTGCTATAATACAGAAACTGTGCTGGATAGGCAACAGGGTATTACACAGAAAAGTACATATAGTTTGAATTCTGGCAAGAAAAATGAGAAATTAGTCAAGCTGCCTACTAAATATGCTTGTTTTGCTCCTGAATATTTTAATGTGTACAAATTTCCATCAAAGTGTTATAGTCCTTGAGAGCCCTATATTAATATTTCTTTTATAGCATCAATAATATCTAGCTCAATTCTGGGCACACAGAATCCAAAATGTTACAGATTCAATGAATGATGCCATTAGTCATCGAATACACTTTATGAACAAAGCTCTGAGACATGAAATGTCTGGCTAAAGATCTGCGGATAAATCCTCAAAACACAATAACCGAGGAAAAGAAATAAATTGGACAAGACATCAAATAGTGCTTGTATAAGGAAAGGAAAGATGCTTTCTGATTATGGGAAGGATTCTCCCAGCTCTGCTGTGTGCCTGAAATAACCAAGCACAAACATTGCATTAACCCACAGCAGGAGGGACTTACAGCAAAGGCAGAGCTTCCTGTCACTGATGGTTTGCATTAACATCAAGGGAGATGGTAAACTTTCCCTCCGAGGCAATGCTATAACAATGAAGCAAGTTTCATATTAGTCTAAGGTGACTTGGGAAAGTTCGGCTCATAGGAGAGAGGGCAAATCTTTTGTTTTACCTCTATTTCTAAAGCATAACTTTCATTTTTAGGCACAATGCTGCTTCCTTGATGTTACTTCGCCTCCTTTTTTTTTTTTTTTTCTCAATAAAGCATTAAAAGAGAATTTACTCCCTGCTGGGAATTATGGTTTCCCCCTTAATTCTCATATTTCTCAACACCTGTTGGGCAGCTGCTATGTTCTGCCCAAGCGGTGGCTGCATTTGCAAGGACTAAATTCTAACAATATGGAAAGTTAGTGATATACTTAAGGGATTTGCAATATGAACTTAACTATGGTAGATGGCTGGAACCACACTCTCATATTTCCCATGTACTTCTGTGGTCTCCATTAAGAAACAATAAAAATAACAGAGCTACTGAGTTCACTGGCTATGTGGAATCTCTTCCTACATCTATGTATAACCACATAAATGCAATACTTCTATAGCTCTATATGTATTATTATAATATGCATGTATATCTAGCTATATATATCTGCTAGATATAATAATGATTTATTAATTGTATTATAGCAGCAGCGAACATTGAGCATTTACTAAGTATCAGTCATTGTTCTAAGCATGTTATATACGTTGATGGTTGAAACTTCAAACATCCTTAGGAGGTAGATACTATTATAATCCTATTTTACAGATGAGGAAACTAAACCTCAGAGATGTGATCAAGCAGCTTGCTGCAAGTCACACAGCTTGTAAGTGGCAGAACCAGAATTTTAAACTGGATAGTAGAAATTCATAGTCCATGATCTTAATTTATATACACTACTTGCATTTAATATTTTATATCAGATTTAGTAAACTACATCTCACAGTACAAAATGAGGATTATTATTATATTTTAAATTTCAAACAAACCATTGAGATAAATAGGAAAATACTATCACAGTGGTTGTTATTATTATTACTTTTCCTATAATAAAAGTAAGGCTCAGAGAAATTAAGTTATTTTTTTAAAGCATATATAGTTGGTAAATGAGGAAGCAAGAAAATTCTGCATCCTGGTTTTATATATAAATTATAATATATACCATATAATAAATATTTCATATATGTAGCATGGTGTGCAATGCCTGATGTGCATAGCACTTGAGTATTTATAAAAATACATATTTAATTATATATTATATTAATATGTAGACATATAATAATGAAAAGGATTCAGAAATTGCATTTAAAGACAAACACATTAACTTAAAATACAACAGCACTATCCAAGTGTGCTTAATATACATTTACTTTAGAAACTTTTACAAATTAAAGTTCCCTACCCTAGGAAGGTAAGGGATGTTTTATGGTAGAATCAAGTTCCATATTTCTTGTGAACACAAAAGTCATTGCTTAGTGACAAAAAGGTTACAGGTTTCTTATAATGGTCCAATAAGTCAGTTATTAAAATTTCAGATCCACTCAACATTCCATGAATACTTTATGTATCTGTGGAGGTTTGAGAGAAATAAGATGAAAGATTTCTTGAGCCTCAGTTCTGTTCTTAATTCTGCTGGAGATGGGTCTTTGGTAACCAGGAACTAGTTCTTTAGCCTCTCTGGGCTCCACATTACTTATTTTAAAAATGAGTCTAGAGACATCGTTAGTAAATCCTCAAGGGGTCTTGGAGTTCTGATCGACAATTATTCAATGTTACTTAAAACAGTAAGAAGGTGACAAGAAGGGTGGTAGTTACTAACTGTGACATTGAATCTATAGGAATCCAATGTTCAGAAAGACTCCAAAGAAAACAGGCAAAAGAAAAGTGTTTCCCTTGGTCACCTCTTTCTTTCTTTGGTGATTCATTCATTCCCTCTTGAAATTAGTGAGCGTCAGCTGTGTGCCAGGCAGTGTTGTAGGTATTGGGCACAGAGCTGAGAACCAGCACAGAAGCTCCTGCTCTCATGAACCTTACCATGGGTTTGAGGGAGCCAGACCTCAAGCAAAGGAATAGGACTCTATGATGTCAAGAGTTAATCAGTGGCCGGGCGCGGTGGCTCACGCCTGTAATCCTAGCACTCTGGGAGGCCGAGGCGGGTGGATCGTATGAGCTCAGGAGTTGGAGACCAGCCTGAGCAAGAGTGAGACCCCGTCTCTACTAAAAATAGAAAGAAATGTATTGGACAGCTAAAAATATATAGAAAAAATTAGGCGGGCATAGTGGCGCTTGCCCGTAGTCCCAGCTACTCGGGAGGCTGAGGCAGGAGGATTACTTGAGCCCAGGAGTTTGAGGTTGCTGTGAGCTAGGCTAATGCCGGAGCACTCTAGCCTGGGTAACAAAGTGAGACTCTGTTTCAAAAAAAATAAAAATAATTAAAAAAAAGAGTTAATCAGTGCCATAGAGGAAAACACGGTAGTATAAGGATGGAGAAAGAAAGTGGGAAGTTGGATTTTATTTCTTATTTGACAGAAAACTTAATTTGAATTGATATGAGGCAATTTATAACTAACACTCCAAGATGTTCTTTTTTTTCAGAGTGCTTTTATTCATTGAACACTTAGACACACAATGCTTAGGATCTACATGCTTTTCAACACCACACAAAATGTTTTAGGCCTGAAGATAAAATCATTGCCTCTCAAATAAGAAAGATGAATAACAAAATTAAATGAGAGAAGATTTTGTACACAAAACATATATCGGCATATCAACTACAGCTCAATTCAGGTAGTTTGATATTTTAGAAAAATAAAGTTTGCATCAACAGAATAAAGTTAATAATTTATTCTTTAGGCAACTTGGAATTATAGAAAATTATCAAAATCTTTTCAAATTTTTTTGGGCAAAAATTGCAATTGCATTTAATGCTAATGTGGAGGCGTAAGTTAGAGTTCTTTAGGAACTGAATAATCATTTGTTCTTTTGCCATTCCTCTTGGAAAATATATGCCACAATTTTGAGCTTTCATCATTCATTTCCTCCACCCCTTTCTCCAAGTTATCAGAAGACTGAGGAAGAAAATGGTCAAAGATGCTTCCATATTCATACATTTGTCTTACTATACATCCTTATGTCCTTAGAACCTAGCACATTGTAGGTGCTCAATGGTGTTTATTGGCTTAGTCGTGCTGAGGGGAAGACAGGGACAGCAGGGCTCAGGTGCCTGGAAGGGGTCTTGGTTGGTTACTCATAGGTTTATAAGGTTTTGGTTTGCTCATCATACCTGTACCCTGATATTGTTCAGGGAAGCAATATTCCCAGCATCCCTTGCTTCTAGTAGGGTACATGTGACACGTTTGCTACCAAAGTGGCAAAAGTATAGGTCTGCTTAGGTTTCTGGCAAAGCTTTTACTTTTCTGACTTGATGGGATAGATGCAGCCAGTGTGGCATGCCCTCTTCCTACCTGGAGTCCAGGTATGATACCTGGAGGAGCAGATGACATTTTGACAATGTAAGTTGACAAGCCAGCATGCTAGGAATGGTGGCCTATAGGCTGAAGAACATTGGATCTTTGAGGTCATTGATAAACTGCCATAACAGCCCAGATCACACACTTCCATATTGCTTATTATGAGATAAAATTACATCCCATGTGTGTTAGTCACAGAAAGCCTGGGGTTTTGTTTTGTAATTTCAGCCAAAATGATGTCAGGTTGCTACACAATGGGAAGGGGCTGTTACAATGGAGGGAAGATGAAGGTCATTGGCTTAGAGACATTTGGGAACTTTGAAGCTAGGACGCTGAAGGGATATTCCAGAAGGAAAGTGATTATAGGTATACAGATCAAATAACTAAAGCACTTTTGAAAACAATTGTGGTTGGGCAAGCAGGGTGCATATAACAGGTTTTATACCCTGAAGTCTAAGGCATAGGTAGATGATGGAGCAGCCAGGTACTCAGTATGGACTAGTTTAGTCCAGGCACATAGCTTCCTGGTATTAAAGATGATACAGGCATAGAACTTAAAAAACATGGAGAAATCGATGCCTAATGTGCCCCTTATGATAGTCATCTATGCATCTCAATTATCTTACCAACAATTTTGGCAGGAGTATGGATGGTAGACAATTTAAGCTAGACCCCTTGGATTGGCATGGAATGTAGCTTTTCTTTGGTAGATTTATAAAACATCTCCTACTAGACCATAAGGTACTTAAAGAGTAGAGACTAAAAGAGAGAAAAGGGTTCATGCACACTGGGCTTGAGTGACTGTGGGACATGGTTTGGAGATGACTCTAGGCAACTGTGTATGAGGCTGGAAAGTGTTTAAGCTGCTTTGAAGTGGTTTTCGAAAAATTATTGATTTTGGATAGGCAATCAGGGAAGGAAGTTATATCTTGTGGCCATTTATAAATAACCACACATCCAGAGATGTCTAAAAACTGGATGTCTTTAAGATATATTATTTACCAGAAGCTGGGAAGGATAAGTGTGTCTGTAGGGGGGCGGATAAAAAGAGGTTGGTTAATGGATACAAACATACAATTGGATAGAAAGAATAAGTTCTATTATTCAATAGTGGAGTGACTATAGTTAACAACAATGCATTGTACATTTCAAAATATCTAGAAGAGAAGACTTAAAATGATGCCAACACACAGAAATGATAAGTACTAGAGGTGATGGTCACCCCAAATATCCTGACTTGATCATTACACAGTCTATGCATGTAACAAAAATATCACATGTACCCTGTAAATATATACAAATATTTGTATCAATGAACAATTTTAAAAATTCATTATTTAGAATTCTTTTCCAGTTCAATTTAGTTCTTCAGCATTAGAGAAGCCTCCTTTTTCAACTGAGTGCTAAATCCCAGTTAAGTGTGACATGGTGATAATAAACTCAAAGGTGTGCCTTTGATCATCATTCCTGTCATTGAATTCTCCCCCCTCTGTGGGGTATAGGATGATTCAGTTCCCCTCCATGAACCTCAGTTTCCACACTTGAAATGAGGCAGTAGGACCAGGTGCTCTCGAAGGCGCCTTCCAGCTCTAACAGTCAATGGTCCTAGGAATCTACAACATAGATTCTCTTACCGCCAGCCCTGAGGTGGAATGAAGAAGCTGAGTTGACCCAACTCACTTTCCAGCAATGCGAAGTTGATCATCCTCTGAAAGTAGATGGCTTGCATCACTTTCTTAGGCAAAGAATAACTCCTCCACATTAATTATGGTAAGCCTGGTATTTGAACTTGCCTTCTGGAGAACTTTAAAACACAAAGATCTAGATCTCTTCTTTCAAGGTCTGAGATAAAAGTAGCTTTAAAAATCTAATGTCTGGATTTTTGAATCAAACAAATGACCTCAGATTATATTCCTATTTTATAAAATCCTGACAAGAGATTATCTCATTCAGAAATATATAGCTCTAACCAAATATCTGCTGCATGCCATAATCTGTGCTAGACCATTTCATATTTTCATTACCTGCTAGACAATTAACAACTCCAGAACATGTCTTTTGTTATGCATTTTTGTATTTCCAAAGCTTAGTACAGTGCATGACACATAGAAGAAACCCACAAATATTTGATGTATTTATAGTAATAATTACTTCCTACAAAACTTGAAATAATCATATAAGGAAGGTAACTGCTACTGTCATTTTCACTGTGTACATAAGTAAACTGAAGCTCAGAGAATCAAAGAAAATCTGGTCCAATGTCACAGACTAGTCACTGGCAGAGCTGTGGTTTGAATCTCAGCATCTTAATTCCGAAGAAAGTAGTCCTCCTACTAACTAGATTGTGCCTCTCTAGAAATCATTTTTAAAGTTGTTAATTGACAAGTAATAATTGTGTACACTTACTGAGTATAGTATGTCAGATATCTGTATTTTTATGTTCATTGTAGTATTATTCACAATAGCCAAGATATGCAATCAATGGATGTACATGCACACACATATGTACATACTATATATAGTATCGCTTGTATACCAAATTGTCATGCATTGATGGATATGCAAGTATCCATCAATGGATGAATTGGTAAAGAAAATATATAGACACAATGGAATACTATTCATCTTTTAAAGATGGAAATCCTGTCATTCGAGACAATGTGGATGAACCTAGAGGGCATTATGCTAAGTGAAGTAAATCAGGCACAAAAAGGCAAATTCCACATGATCTCACTCATATGTGGAAATCTAAAAAAGTTGAACTCATAGAAGCAAAGAGAATGGTGGTTATGAGGGTCTGGGGATGAGGGGAGAGGGTAATGGAGAGATGTTGGCCAAAGGGTATACGTTTCAGGTAGATGGGAGCAATAGATTGTGCTTTCTTATCATGACTCCACCTATCTGTTTCTTTCTCAACACTCCAAGCCCATCACAAATAGATTTTCAATTAAAATATAGAAATGATCAGCTTCTGCTAGGGAAATGTTGTTGTGCTGAAAACATTTTGCAAGAGAAGATATCCTTCCTTGAGGCTAGCCTGTAGTAATAAGTATGGCCCAATGCCATCCCACAGAGAACAGGAACAAATTAAAAGATTGACAAAGAAATGACCCAAGAAGAAGTAGGATTCTGAGAAAATAAGAAGTACAAGGGGCAGGAGAGTGGACCCTGAGTCACTGGGAAAAAACAGGAAATGAAAGCTGGAGCAATAGGGTAAAAGAGCCAGTTCCCAAAGGCCAGTGTCCCTTGTGGACTAGAATGGAACAAGATCCAATTCTTAGGTTAAAAACAAAATTTTTTTTTAACTCTACGGGTGCTTGACTGACTAACAATAATATATTTAGATTGTGGTCTGTGCTTTTCACTCACATTCTTGATAACTGTGACGTTCTTAGGTTATAAAATGATAACAGAGCTATGCCATTAATTAGTTAATAATCAGTTATATCAAGCAGTTTTTCATTAGCACTGTAGTACCAGTTAGATTTTATATTTAATATTACTGAAACTTCTCTGAAACTCAGATTTTTGAAATTTTGGATGAAGTTGGCTGGTTCAGCTCATGATTCTTTCTTTCTGCAAGATTCCCATGTATTTGGAAAGTTCTTCCCTTCCTCTGCCAATTATTCAGTGAGCTCCTAATGCCCTAAAGACTACCAAGTGTCTTCAAGGCTTCAATTGAATTATCCTTACCCCAGGAACACCAGGAATCTAGGAATTAGCTTGATTACACTTAACCATTCTTGCAATGAATGGAAGAATGTGGATTCATTAAGGAATTTTATCTCCAGTGGTTAAAAAAAAGGGGGGGGGGTTATGCCAGTCTTCTTTATCTTTCTGATGCAGGAAAATGATAAGCAAATACATTTTAAAATATTGGGTGGAAAAAATCAAACAAAAATAGTCTTTCAGATTCAAGTTACTATGTATTTTTGTATAAAAATTTAGATGTAATCTTCCTGATTTGGTTTAGCTCAGGTTCCGCTAAAATATCAAATACGAATTCTGAGTTTGAATCATGAATTTATTACATTGTTTACTACAGAGCCTTTGAGAAATTTACCTCCCAGTTTCTTCAAATATAAAATAATAATACTTAACTCAAATTGTTATTTTGTGTATTGAACTAGATGATATAAGTAAAATACTAAATATGGTACCTAATGCATTTGTTAAAATATAAGCAATTATTATTAATAATAAGTTCACAAAGAAAACTCACTCTCACTTCTTTTATTCAAAATTGTTCTGGATAGTCTAGCAATGCTATAACACATGAATAGATAATGGAAATTTTAAAAATTATAAAAGATTGCCAATTTCATAGATAATATTTATCTAAAAGTCTAAGAGAGATTCTATTTAAAATCCATCAAATTATGTAAGATAGTTTAGTAAGCATCAAGATTCCATGTATATGTGCATATTTTATATGCACACACACATATATACACACAATATATAGTATCACTTGTATACTAAATTGTCATGCATAGTAATCTGGAATCCATATATGTATACACATATATGAAGTCCAGCTGCACATTAAATTGTCATATATATTATATACATTTATGTATTTTATACATACCTTATACCCAATAATAACTGGCTCAATATTGTAATAGAATATCAATCATTCACCATGGCAAAATGTGAATGCAAGCCTCTGCATGCTTTTACCCCAAGACTTTGATATGACTGACGGAAAAACACCAACAAACATGATTAAAGGAGTTAACATTTCTTTAATGGCAAAAGGTAAGAATCATATTTATTTGAGCTTTTCACACAAAGCATGGGACAAACTAGCTGGTCCCCAGATGCAGTCACAGGCTCCACAGGTGTCCTGCCGTTCCCCTTGAGATGTCCATCAGCTGAAGACACCACCTGCAGTGAGTGAGAATCCTGCCAGTTCTGAGAAAGCTTGCCTTTACTGAGAGTTTTAAATATCCCCTCCCTATCCTTGGTCTGTTCTAGTCACAATATCCTGCCTAATCACAAGCTACAGGTAATTAGTGTGAAACATGCTCAGTGTCCACTGTGAGTAAACAGCATATAAAACTCTCAGGCCCGTTTGAGGCCTGTACCTCAGATTTAGTTTTCTCCCAATTTCAGCCCAAACAATTCAACCATTTAAAATTCTTTCTAGAACATTTTTTTAAATTTCAGAATATTATGGGGGTACAAGTATTTAGGTTACATACACTGCCTTTGACCCACCCAAGTCAGTGCTACAAGCATGCCCATCCCCCAGACAGTGTGCACCACACTCCTTAGGTGTGAATATACCCATCCCTTCCCCTCCTCTCCCCCCGCCTGATACCTGATGAATGTTATTACTATATATGCACATAAGTGCTGATCAGTTAGTACCAATTTGTTGGTGAGTACATGTGGTGCTTGTTTATCCATTCTTGGGATACTTCACCTAGTAGAATGGGCTCCAGCTCCATCCAGGATCATACAAGAGGTGCTAGATTACCATTGCTTTTTTTTGTGACTGAATAGTACTCCATGGTATACATATACTACATTTTATTAATCCACTCATGTATTGATGGGCACTTGGGTTGTTTCCACACCTTTGCAATTGTGAATTATGCTGCTATAAACATGCAGATGTCTTTTTTATAGAATGTCTTTATTTCCTTTGAGTAGATGTCCAGTGATGGGATTGCTGGATTAAATGATAGTTCTACTTTTAGCTCTTTGAGGTGTCTCCATATTACTTTCCATAGAGGTTGTACATTTTTTATAAGATAGGCAGAAAACAAAACAAATATCCATCGCTGTTACTAGACAACTACTTGAATTAGTCAAAGAGATTAGGGGGATGATATTATTGCATTAACTAAATAAATTAAAATATTATACCTTTTTTTACCAATTGAATTATTTACTTCTTCTTTTTTTTGGTAAGAAATCACATACCAGTATATTGACTCACCTTACTGAACATGATATTTCTCTAGGATAGGGTATGTTAGTTTTTCTTTTGGGGTGTCATCGTAGACCTATAACCTTTGATGAACAGAACTAGTTCCAAATAACTGTAAACAGTTTTAATGCTGAAATTGCCACTACTTAGTCATCGGCAACTCTCTTGGCAGACTGACCAATTTATTTTTTGAACTCTACTTTCGAGTACATTAGATTATATTCTTTTTAACAAAAATATGCTTCAGAGTCAATTTTGTTCTGCTTTCTTAAAATAAGAAATCATCTACTTTCTAAAGATTCCTGTTTCTTTTTTGTTGTTGTTGTTCTTTTCTTTCTTTCTTTTTGTTTATTTGTTTGTTTTGAGTATAGCATTTGACACCAAAAGCATTGAATCTTTCCATAAAATCACTCAGTGTAAAAAGGATTGATGCTTGCCCCCAAACGCAGAAAAACCACCTTTGTGTCAAGAGGTTGTGACTTCATTTATGTTCATTATCTTTTACTCATTTGGCTATTTACTGAATTTCTTTTTACCTTATTCTATATAAGAGATTATAACTCCAATGTTCATACTTTTTCCCACTAACATGTTAGTGATTGTGATAACCAATACTGTATTAATATTATAGTTGCCTCTAGTCACCAAAAGATATTGTTAAGAAAATAAGTAGGCAAGCAATAGTCTGGGAGGATATACTTGTAAAACAGTCTAACAAAATAATGGAATCCAAAATATATAAAGAGCCCTTGCAAACTCAATAATAAAAAGGAAAGAAACTCAATAAAAGTAGGCAAAATATACACTTCAGAAATGAAGATACAGACATAGATATTACATACATGAGAAATTGCTCAACATTATTAGTCATGAAGGAAATACAAGTTAAACCCATAATGGAGATACTGCTACATATCCACCGGAGTGATGAAACTTTAAAAAATGGATAACTGGAACTCTCATACATTCATTGTTGGTGAATTTTGTAGAATTGTACTATTACTTTGGAAAAATATCTGTCAGCTTCATATAAAACTGAACATATACCTAATCTATGATCTAGCAATTACAATCCTTGGATTTACCCAAAATAAGTGAAAACATATGCCCGCAAAAATACTTGTACAAGAAGGTTGACAGTGGCAATATTCATAATAGCAAAATCTATAAATAGTCCAGGTGTATGAATAAACTAATGTGATATATTCATACAATGGAATACACTCAGAAATAGAAAGGAACAAGCAATATGGATGCATCTTTAAAACATTGAATGAAAAAGTCTTATTCTGAAAATGTATGTTCTATGATTACATTTGTACAATGTTCTAACAGGCAAATTTTCTCTTTTTCAGAAAAGAAATCAGAATGGTGGTTGCCTGTGGAGGTGGGAGAGGAGATTGACTGGGAAGGGGCATGAGGAACCTTCTGGAGTGATGGTAATGTATATGTGTTGACAGGGATATGAGTTATAACAGGTGCATGCATTGGTCAAAATCCAACAAATGCACCCTTGGTATTTGTGTATTTAAATGTACATAAAAAGAAAAATACTGTAAATGACTATTGAACTCTAGTCATTGATATGAATACTACAGCATTTAGGGGTAATGTGCAGATATTTGCAATTTATTTTAAAATGCATCAGAAAATAAACTGAATTGATGGATCAAGAGAGGAATGTCTTAGAACGAAAATAAGTGGTGAGCATATAGGTGTCCACTGTAAAATTCTTTCAACTATATTGTATGTTTGAAATGCTTTTAAAATGTTTAGAGGAATCAGTGTTAACCCTAAGGGGAGTTTATTTTTTCCTTTTCTTTATTTTACTGTTTTATAAGCCCTCATATTAGGTCCAAGATGTGCAAGTTCCTGTTTTAACTCCCACCTGAGGGCCAACTCTCAGAAATGAAAAAAAAGTTTCAAGCTAAATCAAAATAAACAAAGGAATTTACAGAATGACACCTGGGATCCCATTTAATTGGAAGATAATAGTATCCTCACCCTGATCAAGACGATTTCTGTGGCTCCCTGCATAAAAGGCAAAGAAATTGGTGCAAAACAACCCAGCTCCAAACACACCGAGGCTACAACAACAACTGTTGCAAGCAGGTTTCACAGTGGATACTAAAGTTAGTGAGCAAATTTTGAGGAGAAACAGGATATTTTGCATAATCACAAGTATCTGGCTCAAGATATTTATTAATTGTAAAGGGAGAGATATTAACTTCACAGTGGAGAAGCACAGCAGGCACCAAGTGATAAGACACATCAACGTCTTGTACTTCTTGATTTGATACAATGAGGACCCGTGGCTTCTGTTGTAGTCTTGCAGACCTCAGCAAACAAATGCATAACTTCCACCTAATCATGAGTAAACATCAGGCATGCCCGAATTGAGAGTTATTTACATATTAAATGACCAATACTCTTCAAGAGTGTCAAAGTCATGTAAGAAAAGGAGAGACTGAGGAACTATCACAGATTGGAGACCAAGGTGACAAGACAACTAAATGCAACATGGAATCCTAAATGGACCCTCAACCAAAATGGACATTAGTGGGGAAACGTGAGAAATCTGGATAAAGTTTTTAGTTTAAGGGAAGGCAAGGGCAATGTATGTAGCCTTAATGTTTGTACCCCCATAATGTACTGAAAAAAAGTTTTTAGTTTACTTAACAGTATTGTATCAATGTTAATTTCTAAGTTTTCATAATTATATTATCATTACATAAGGTATTGATGTTAGAGGAAGCCAGGCGAAAGACATATAGGAGCTTTTTGTGCTATTTTGAAACTCCTCTGTAAGTCTAAAATTATTACAAAGTAAAAAATTAAAAAGGAAAGCAACTGCATAATAATAATGAAAAAAAGTAAGTTTGGATATTAAAAGTAAAACAGAGAAGGCGGAGAAGGGGAAGAGAAGAACGAGGACAAGGAGGAGGACGAGGTGTGGGAGGAAGAGGAGGAGGAAGGCAGCCACTCCCATTCTTGAGTGGTCACAAAGAAACTGGGTAAATGAGAGATGCTTGTCCAGGCTTCCAGTCTGCCTGCCAGCATGAGGGCTGTTTCTGGAGACCATTGTAATGAAAAACATAAAATCTTACTTAAAATGTGAAAGGAGATCCATATAAAATAATCTTCCATTTGAATAAACAGTGGGGCTTGTGCCGGTAACTTGACAAATGGATAAAAACTCATCTGAGTCCCTATAGAGTAGTGCTTAACAGATCACCCAGGTTCAAATCTATTTTCCATGATGGAATATTTGTGTATCTTTAGGTGAGTTATTAAACTTTCTGTGCTTCTGTTTGCTCATCAGTAAAATGGGAATAATAATGATATCTATTTCCTAGTATTGTTGGGAAAATTAGATTGGGTTAATACATATAAACTATTTGCCTAGCATGTAGTTAGGGATAAATTAATATTAGTCAATATTATTCATCAGGTGGAACTAAGGCATCAGAATGGCCATACTTTGAAAAAGGAGAAAAATTGAAAATGTGTTCTTCCAATGGCTAAAATATGTTATGAAGCTACAGTAATTAGAGGTGCAATACTGTTTGAACAATAGCCAATAATTAAATCAGTTAAATCAAACAAGAGTCCAGAAATAGATGCATTTTATATATGCATATATATTCACATATATAAATAAGAGAAGAAAGAATGCATTATTCAAGAAACGTATTTGGAAAATTTGGTTAAGAAAATAATTAAACCCTTATTTCACACTTGGAGGTGGAAGTCCCTGATATATATGTATATATATATATATATATATTTTTTTTTTTTTAAATGATTCACTCCACATTACTACCCTGCTTAAAATTTCCCAGTAAAATTAAAATTACAACAAAATCTAAACCAAAGTGGCCGATAGCCAGCTTCTCTGATCTCGTCATTGAGCTGCCCTTCATTCTCTGCTCTTCTGGCACTGTGGCTT